TTGACTTCTTAACCGCCCACTCCGCCCTCACCGATTGTTCTATTGGTATCTTACGGCTCGAATTGCCTTTGTGCTCCGATTTCACTCCTCCAAGTCGCACTCGGTTACGATCCGTGGAGTCTCTACGGCTACCGGCCCAGGCTGCTATGTACATTCCTCTGTCGCCTTTCCCGTCCGTTCCTGATGGAGACTATCTGGTAGCTCCCCTCATTGATTTGACTCTTACGCACCACATCGCACTACCACATACTATAGTGGTTGTTGCTAACAACACGGTGCTACTTCCAGTTCTGAACTTCTCTACGTCGACCCAAGTGCTTCCCCAAGGCATCACTTTAGCCGATCTTTCCACCCTTGATGAATGTTCGATTTGTTCTTTTACACCTGACACTAAGACCATGACGAAACCTGTCATCACGTCGCAAAATAAGGCGTTCCTCGACAAAATGATATCCAGTGACCTCTTACCTTCCCAAGTTGCGGCGCTCCGGGGTGTTCTTTTTTTCTTACCTGGATATCTTTGACGTTGACGACCGTCCCCTGGGCCGCACAAGTGCCGTAACCCACCGCATCGACACCGGCGACGCCAGTCCACTTCACAAACGCCCTTATCGCGTGTCACGTGCTGAGCACCAAGTAATACAGACGGAGGTCGAGAAAATGCTGAGAAAAGACGTCATTGAGCCGTCATCGAGTCCTTGGGCCTCCCCTGTGGTCTCAGTTAAAAAGAAGGACAACACCTGGCGTTTTTGCGTCGACTATCGCCACCTGAATCGGATCACCAAGAAGGATGTTTATCCTTTACCTCGAATCGATGATGCGTTCGACTGCCTCCAGGGCGCCAACTATTTCTCGTCCCTTGACCTTCGATCCAGATACTGGCAAATTTCGGTCGACGACCGCGACCGCGAGAAGACGGCATTCATCACACCCGACGGCCTTTACCAATTCAAGGTCATGCCTTTTGGGTTGTGCAATGCCCCGGCTACTTTTGAACGTATGATGGACTCTCTTCTTTGCGGTTTCAAATGGTCGACCTGCCTCTGCTATCTGGATGATGTAATAGTTTTCTCGCCCTCCTTCGAAAGCCACCTGTCTCGTCTCTCGGCAATTCTTGACGTTTTTCGTTGCGCTGGTCTCCAACTCAATTCGTCGAAATGCTCATTTGGACGTCGGCAGATTAAACTACTCGGCCACCTTGTTGACGCCACTGGTGTTCAACCCGACCCTGACAAAGTCCGTGCAGTCCGAGAATTCCCGGTTCCGCGTTCCACACAAGAAGTTCGCAGTTTTATTTGGCTCTGCTCATACTTCCGCCGCTTTGTCTTCAATTTCGCAGATATTGCTAGGCCCCTCACGGATCTCCTCAAAAAGAATGTGGCATTTTCTTGGGGAAGGGACCCAGAACATTCCTTCGCGTCGCTAGTTACCGCCCTCACATCACCACCTGTGTTGGCTCATTTTGATAAAGCGGCTCGAACAGAGCTTCGCACCGATGCAAGCGGCCATGGCATTGGTGCTATACTCGCTCAGATACAGAATGACACCAACCGTGTGGTAGCCTACGCTAGCCGTCTTTTGTCGCCAGCGGAACAAAATTATTCCATCACTGAGCGGGAATGCTTAGCCCTCGTTTGGGCTATTGCGAAATTCTGTCCGTACTTATATGGACGTCCGTTCGCAGTCATCACGGACCATCATGCGCTTTGCTGGCTGTCGACGCTTAAGGACCCTACAGGAAGACTCGGCTGATGGGCACTTCGATTACAGGAGTACACGTTCTCGGTTGTTTACAAATCTGGAAAGCTGCACAGCGATGCTGACTGCTTATCCCGGCACCCTGTTGATCCACCTAGCTCCACTGATTTGGAATCCGATGCCTGCGTTTTAGCCATCACTGACTTTCTGAACGTGGCTGACGAACAGCGCCAAGATCCATCGCTGCTCACCATCATTGACCGCCTTCAATCGCGTTATGCTGACCCTTCTCTTAGCAGATACCTGCTTCAAGACAACGTTTTGTACCGCCGCAACTTACACCCCGACGGCGCGGAACTTTTACTCGTCGTACCGCATCACCTGCGAAAGGATGTTCTGCGACAATTCCACGACGCTCCAACTTCTGGACATCTAGAAGTCTCCAGAACTTACGACCGCATTCGACGACGAGTATTCTGGAAGGGTCTGTACGGCTCTGTTCGCCGTTTTGTCACATCTTGTGACCTCTGCCAGCGCCGAAAGAAGCCTACGACTCCTCCTGCCGGTCTACTTCAACCTATTGAAGTTCCAGCCGAGCCATTTTATCGAGTGGGGTTGGACTTGCTAGGCCCTTTTCCTACTTATACAACTGGAAATAAATGGATTGCAGTGGCCACAGACTATGCCACTCGGTATGCAATCACTCGAGCGCTACCAACCAGCTGCGCAACCGACGTTGCCGACTTCCTGCTGTACGACATTATTCTCCAGCATGGCGCTCCGACTCACCTGCTCACAGACCGTGGTCGCTACTTTCTATCTCGTGTGGTTGATGATCTTCTCAGATCTTGTGCTACCCGTCACAACTTCACCACATCTTACCACCCTCAGACTAACGGCCTTACGGAGCGACTAAACCGCACATTGACGGACATGCTTTCCATGTACGTATCTACCGACCACACTGATTGGGACATAGCTCTTCCGTTCGTAACTTTCGCCTATAACTCGTCGCGTCATGAAACAGCGGGCTACTCCCCTTTTTATCTACTCTACGGACGTCATCCCTTACTGCCCTTCGACACACTGCTTTCATCAGACCACCCATCCTCCACCTCGTACGCTCAGGATGCAATCACCCGTGCCCTCACGGCACGTGCGGTAGCGCGTGCTCGGTTATCGTCGTCGCAGACAGCACAGAAGTCTCTTTATGACCGTCGACATAGAGATGCCGTTTTTTCTGCGGGATCTCTTGTTCTCCTGTGGCTCCCATCTCGACGTGTTGGCCTCTGCGAGAAACTACTATCGCGATACGCTGGGCCCTACCGAGTCGTTCGTCAGGTCACACCTGTGACCTACGAGATTGCCGCTACCACAAACTCATCAGCTGCTGCTCCCAGAACGGAAGTGGTCCACGTTTCTCGTCTCAAGCCCTACAATGCCGACGCGCTCATTTAACAGGCACCGAGACGGTGCCTTACGGGCCGGGGTGATGATACGTGTATGGAACTATCGCACCGACACAGCTGAATTGGCACCCAAATGAAGAAGACGACAACGTGGTTGTAGTGGGTGGGACTCTCAAGCTTCTCCCGTTGGCCTGCTTGACTGTGCGCTCTCTAAGCCGTTGGCAAGACCAGCTCTTGGTGAATAAATCTTTCCCGTAACAATATGATTAGGTGAAAACCTAGGACAAGGAAGACTAAACACGGCATCCTAGTGCTTCACTGGTACATCACATGTAGCTTCACAAGTAAGCTTGAGTTTGCTTTAAACACCACCCTCTGCCCTTGGTATTCTGTAGGGGAAGTGACCTTCTCCTTTAAAAGCACCAGTATGAAAAGTTGAAAGGTGGAGAGGATGTCGTAAGGAAGAAAATTCGAAAAAGTGGAAACCTTTTAACATTGGCCTTAAAGGAGCATGTAAATTTTTTTTACAAAATTGGAAGTGACTGTAATGGTGTTTCCCATTACTGTTACCCTGTAAAGAAGTAACAGTGTTACAGTTACTAATTCCTCTAACTTAAGATAAACAGTTGCTGTTTAAAGTTACTGAAAGAAGTAACCAGTTACCGGAAACTCTTTACTGGTAACCAGTTACTGCCCAAAACTGGCCACAACCTACCGAAAACTTTTGAGCAGCCCCCCAGTTGCAATGTGGTGAAGGATAATCTGATGAGATGTGGAAGGGATTTGCAAGGCAGGTTCGTTTGTTATCTATAGCATCCATTGTAGCTACAGCACATCCAGGGGACTGAGCCACGTAACACATACACAGAACAGTGTGTGTGTTGGGGGCATTGTGTGTGGGCATTGTTGAAAGTTAACACTGTGTCCTGTCCTGAATGTGCGACACATGCAATGCTGTGGGGGCCCTTGCTCTGTCAGGAACTAAATTTCAAAGATACCGGTGGAAGAGCCGCTAAGAATACAGAATGCACAGCAGTGTTTCTAATGAAATGCTTTATTGGATACGAAACATGCACCGTTTTGTTTGCTCGCATGAAGTGCACGATAACTGTGAATTACACACTGGAAATGGCAGGAGGGATGAAGGGACACTAGCCCCACCGCGATGGTCTGGTGACTAATGCACTCGGCTGCTGACCCACAAGTCGCGGGATCGAGTCCCGATTGCGGTGGCTGCATTTCCAATGGAGGCGGAAATGTTGTAGGCCCGTGTGCTCAGATTTAGATGCACGTTAAGAACCCCAGGTGGTCTAAATTTCCAGAGCCCTCCACTACAGCGTCTCTCATAATCATATGGTGGTTTTGGGACGTGAAACCCCACAAATCAATCAATCAGAAGGGGCACTTGCTCACTCATTGGCACATACTTGAAATGTGCCGAGAAAGGAAGAGACACACTTGCTTGAGATTTCAGAGTATATCTATACACTGCACTTCTGGTTGTTTTAAAGCTGTATGTGTACAATTGATTCATAATGCAAAACATGGCAAGAGAGTTGGTCATGGATACCCCTAATCGAATTCTTTTTTTTAATGTGGAGATACAATATTGCTTTCAAAGTGTGTTACTTTTTGCTTTGTTTCATCGTGGTCATTACAGTATATTGAATCAGCTAGATGTGCTAACAGTGAGGTTGAGGAACATGCAGACAGAGTTAGGATGAATGATTGCCACTTTAAAGTACCTACAGAAGTGTCATGTCGAACAACGTGTCACTGTATTAGTGTTACCACTGATGTCTGGTGAAAGTACTGCAGTCACAGTTGGTCAGTTTCATTTACACTAACGCAGTGTTGCATCAATTGTTTCTTTCATTTTATTTTCCGACGCAGCATCAAGACGGAAGTTTGCTCAACTGGCTCGATTGTTTCATCGGACAAAGAAATGCCACTTTCGACAGATGTATCCTTAACTCATGACATTGCTTGTTTTGTTCTGCACAATTTTACAACCAAAGCTGTTATGAGGTCATCTAAACATCCAATTTTGTAGATGTAGTTGTCTGCCACCACCGCCAGTGTCCGTAAGTGCTATCGCGCTTGGTGAATGAAAAAAAAAAACGTGGTTGATCTAATTTTATACGATTCGGTATGACACGAAAGTGAAACGTGTCCTTGCAGTGGCAGTTGAGCATTCATTGTGAATTGTTTCACTGCAGAGGCAAAGGAATGAATGCTGCAGTAACAAATTGCAGTATCACTCGAAGAACGACAAGCAGTTTGAAACTTGCACTGCATGCCTCAGCCAGAAAGCACGCACAAAAGGAGCATACAAACAGCTGTCATAGCTTGACACTTAAAGCAGATATACATGAGAAACGAACACACAATTATACACCTAGACGAGCGTGAACAATGGTCACAATTGCTACTTTTTCATGTGTGAGCAGCGTGCTCCTTTCGTAAACATGGTCGTGGCAGCAAGTTAATTGCTGTTTGTGCTCTCTTTAACTACTGTAATTTCAAAGCAAGCTTGCGGGGAAAGCAGAAGAGATACAGAGCGCTCCAATCCCAAGATAGGCGCGCGCGTAAGTGAGTCACCACTACTACCACGCTAGATAACATCTAAGTATTTGCGACTCCAAGTGAGCACTCTCCACCTAGCGGCCGCACTTCGAAACCATGCTAACAGGGGTGGCCGCCGGGATTAGCCGGCGGCGCGCTGTTGCTACAGCCGTCCCATTCGGCGCGTCGCCTTGCGAATAAGTGTAATTTTGTCGCTTCCTGAAGGCGGCAGGAGATGGCAGTATTTTCCCATGGATCGAGCGGCGCTCCTCTGCCTGGTGAATCATGCGATTTCAGTCATGACATCAATTGTGCAGGCACGTTTGAATCTATTTCAGACGCACTAGAAGCATGCAGTCGGCGTTCATTTATGCCTTGCTGCAGTTACAAAGACGTTCAGGTACGTTATTAAAAAGTTACTCCTCTCTTTTGCATGCAGCTTTAGTAGTCGTTTAAAGCAGATTCAGGCAACAGAGGCTGCTAGCGCGGAATATTTCATCTTGGTTGTGTGCAAGTTTGCTGAACGTAGTCTTTAAACTTGTCGCAAAATATGACACGTAGATATCCTTCTTTCTTTAAATGCAATAGCATTATAGACGATAGTTATAGCGCGAGAATAGAATGAGGACACAGAGACAAGAAGGACACGAGTGCTCGTGTCCTTCTTGTCTCTGCACTCGTGTCCTTTGTGTCCTTCTTGTCTCTGCGCTCGTGTCCTTCGTGTCTTTCCTGTCTCTGTGTCATCATTCTATTCTCGGGCTATAAGTATCGTCATGTCATACAAACTATCCCAAGCTGCCACAGCATTATAGAACTCGTTTTAATTATTCCCATGCAACCACAAAAGTACTGCGGCAGCTACTTTGCAGCATTATTCTCTTTGACTCAAACATTATCATTAGGTTACTGGGCTAGAAGACATTGGTTTGTCTCTCACACTTCAAGTGAAATTATTACAGCGGCGCTGTTATGGTATAGTAAACTGTTCAGAATTCTTTTTGTGCATGACACAGAAAGATCGATCTTTGTTTGTTAGTTTTCTCTAGTAGGCCGCAGGCACTATGTACGTATATTTTAGGTGCACATGCAAGAACCACCTGATCTCGCCCTCCCCCCCCCCCCCTCACTGTCTCTTTTTGTTTCTGTTTTTTTTTTTTTGCCACCGCATTCACGTGGAGGCAAGGTTTGTACAACATTTTCATTTGTCCATCAAGTGATGACCAAGCAATAAGCAGCACAGTATCTGTTGTGTCTAATAAATTTTGCTTGTTCCAAACGTCAACTAATGTTGTTACTACATTCACCTTAATTATAATATGTACAAAACCTTATGTATTGCAGGCTTTTAGCACAGCTTTACCCAGAACACTGTATGAAAGTCACCTCATGTCTTTCTTCGTCCGATGTCGAAGTGGCAAAGTATATGCCTGGTACCAACGATTTGAAATAAAACTAGCAGAGCTATTTTACCTCCATATAAAGAAAAGTATGTAATTTCATATTTAGGACATGCATACGATAATTGCCAAATGAAAATAGGCCACTAGGCGGACCTTGCTAATAAAACTTGGGTTCTGTTTTTTTGTTGTTTTTTAAAGAACGCATGACTACACAGACGAAAAAAGTAAGCACAGCAGCGAATTGAAGCCTATTGCTTCGGCCTCAAGAACAGTTTGAAAAGCTAAAAGCACACACAGAATAGACACACACAGAACAGAGACAAGCTCTGAAGAATTTAGAGCGAAAAAACAAAGAAAACAACCACAGTACAATGCACAAGGCGACCTGCCAGCGTTTGTGTCTACTCCGTGTGTTTTTCTTGCTACAAACAATACCCGAGAAAAAATTACCAGTGCGTAGCAAAAAACGTAACGTATGCCATCAACAAACTGTCTTGAGACTATGTGCCTCTCCCCGCAGTCCTAAATATGCATCAGAAATAAACAGTCAACAGCCTTTTTTTTTATTTGAACACACTGCAGGCTCAATCGGCCCTTGCAGGAGTAGTTATAGAGAAAAAAAAGCATATCAAAGAAAAAAATCGAAAGTCACAATCGTGAACAGAAATGAATGGCCCCCACCTCCGCAACAAATGATTCCACAGTAGCTCAATATACAACACTATCCGGTAGCATATTCCATTGACCGATTGCCGAGAGGAAGAGTGAATATTTGTAAATGTTAATGCGGCTTGAAAGTTGTCTGATTGTGTTACTGTGGTTAGTTCTCGATGAGTGCAAAAAAGGGAACGTAAATAATGTGACTTTGGATTTTTGAAATGACTGTGGGACCAAGGATAAACGAATTTCAGTTTGGAAACTATTCTTCACTGTGAAAGTTGTTCAAGGCTTTCTTCCACTAATAGCTGAGAGATGCTGCATTGTCTAGAATACCAAGAGTATATGAATATAGTTTTTGTATGCATTCAATTTTATCAATTACGTAGTTGTTTTTGCTAAGGGCTCAAGATTGAATCAGCATACTCTAATGAGGGTTTAACAAGTGTTCTGTAGGCATTTATTTTCATATGCAGCTGTGTGTTACGTAGCTTTCTTCGTAAAAAAGATAGTTTGCATTCGGTGGTCTGGCAGATGGAGATGTGAGGACAAGGCCCAAGTATTTTACCTGATGACGTTTTTCGAGTGTGGTGTTATAGCTGAAATTTATTGGGTTTTTCTTGTTGGTGAATGTATTACACTTGGTTTTTGACATGTTAAGTCTCATGCCCCAGGTATTGCACTAGGAGGAGATAGATTGCAGTGAATTATTTAGTTATATTTGATCCCTTGAATGACGTGCTACTGTGTACACTACTACATAGTCGTCTGCTAAAAGCCTCATTTAAACCATTCTATGAATACCGAACTGAATACCATTATTATATATAAAAAATCGAATGGGAGCAAGACCGGACACCTGAGTAGACCTTCAGCTGAGTGGACCTAGAGCCATGCCGCTCGTAGGTTACGGCCATAGCGGCAGAAGGTACAAACTAGATGTGGGCGCTTAAGAGGGGATATCTGGGCAGGTCAGGAGTACAGTAGAACGTGCCCTGGCATAAAACAAAAAATATTCAGAATCAAGCAAGTTTCAAACCTAGGCTCTCTATGTAGCTGTTGATTTTTACACCACAGTGCCATGCCGGTGCTCGGAAGTCTGTAGCAAAAAGACCCTATACTGGCTTCGTATCAGGCCAGGAATCATATCAGCAGTTGTAATGTTGTGTAATAGAAGAGTACAATAAATAACCAGCCATCACACAATGCAAACTGCACAAAGAGTTTCAAGCTTCCCATCCATTACGAATGGCCCAACCATTTTCATCAGCCGCACCATCAACTAAGTGCACATAATGCCTCATAGTAGATGCATCCGTAGTGGGTACTTCGCTCCTCCACAGAATGTTCAATAATGGCATGACTGAAGGCGTACTACTCTGTGCGGCGACACCCTCTGTGCATATTCCTGTGCAGCTTCCGTCTCGCTATATTTCAGCTGCAGTATGAAGCCTTGACATGGCTACACACTGCAGCTATACAGTGGAAGCTTACGCAGTGTGTAGCTGTGACATGGCTACACACTGCATAGGCTTCCGATAAACTGCAGTGCCACCACAGCATCGCCAGAGATATGTGTCGCCGGCAGTGGCTACTATAACAGGCTGCCAAAATTGCAGGTTCCTTCTTTCTCTATCTAGATGAGCATAGCGTCGGTATGCTTGCCCATTGCTGCTACTAAGTGAATCAACAGTCATGTTTTCATGTTGGGATTCGTCTTTTCAGCAACGTGACTCTCATATCTGGTGACTCGGAAAACAGACAATAACACACCTCCATGCAAGAGCAAGAGGCTATACAGCAACAGCTGGAACTAGTACTACAGAGGCAGCTCCACTCCCAGCGGGAGCTCATCCAGAAACAAGGGCAACAGGTTCAAGATCCGCCGTGTAAATGCAGTCATTTCATGGAGCAGCATCCTGACGACAACTCCTTGACACTGACCATGCCTGCCGGCTCCGCTGAAGACATCAGAATCCCTTCAAATGGCATCCCGCATGTTGCTCCACACAACACAGGATGTGTCGCTGTCAAGCTTCCACTATTCTGGGCGGGCCCACCCGAAGTATGATTTACTCAAGTTGAGGCTCAATTCTCCTTGGCATGCATCACACAAGTTGGCTCCTACTATGGCACCACCCACGTGGACTCCCACTATGCCATCGAGGTCCGACATTCTCGCCAGCCCACGAATGGCTAACCCGTTACAAACACCTCAAGGCCGAACTTATATGCCGCCTGTCAATCTTGGCAGAAAGTGTGACAGCCTCAGTCGGAAGAACTTGCCGAGCACGAGCCATCACAGTTCCTTTGCCACATGCATGCTCTTGCAAGTAACATG